ACACACACACACAGACACAGACAGGCACACCGACAGACACACACAGACACACACAGACATAGGCACACACACACACACACACACACACACAGACACAGACAGGCACACCGACAGACACACACAGACACACACAGACATAGGCACACACACACACACACACACACACACAGACACAGACAGGCACACCGACAGACACACACACAGACACACACACACACAGGCATTCCTCTGCCAGTGCTTGGCCAAAACTTCATGATAAACCTGAGTTTTAACTAAATGTATGTGTCTGTCTGTTTTCTGAACAAACAATCATTGACTGACAAGCAGCCGGAAAAACAGCCCAGAACAGACAGAAACAGCCATGGACTGGTGATAAAGTGCAGCGGCCCTTTTTAATTGCATTACAAAATATCTCACATTCCACTATATTGCCAAAAGCTGAATAACTAAACAGGTGGAGACTAATTAATGCAAACAGTCAGAAGTGAATATAGCCTACGAGCGACGTGTGTGGAGGCTGAGGTGCCCCCAGCCAGCCCTCCAAGGACAATGGAGCAGAGGCACACGTGTGGAGACTCACCACAGGTATATGACAGTGGTTTACAGTGAAGGGAAACAGGTAGCTAAGCTAGGAAGTGACAGGCTGGAGAGTAAGGGGCAGCTAAAGGTGACCCGGAGTAAGCACTGTGGACAGACGTCGCTCTTCTGAAGGGAAGCACTAGGCCGCGCCTTTGTGAGCATAAGGGGCGGACATTTAGATAATACTTAACCAGAGTCCAGTTCAGGCTCATATTTCATGAGTGGAAAAGGTCTTTGCAGACACACATACCTGCCCTCTTCACTTTCTTCCAGAAGCACTAACAAAGAAATGGGAAATTTTGAAAGAGGGTAAATTTTAGATAAATTATCCATCATTCTGGGCAAAAAGGAGTTTTGTTTAATCCTGGGGAAGGGAAATACCAGTTAGACCACATTCCTGCCCACTTCCCCCATCCCAGAAATCACTTACGAAACTAGGAGTAAAGTTGTCAGTCAAGCATTCACTGATTACTACGATATTGTGACTTGTCTATGCTTCAACAGGGCTCTCAGACAGCTATATCCAAGCACTACAGCAACCAGATGGGCGTGGGACACCCGTCTGAGACAGACTTCTGATCAGCTTTACACACAAAAATATTACTTCAGATCGCATACATGAGAACAAAGGGCTTTGTATAGCCTGGATGCTGGCTGTTTATGTATGACAAACACACCCTGCCATGCCCCAAGAAAGACGGACAGAACTTGTCACTATGTCCCTAAAACTACGGATCTCTTAGCTCTCGGCATCGGAGTGGAGACCCACGTGGCCCGGCTGAGCCCAGACCCCCACCCCCGGCTCAGAATGTTAGCTTTAAGCCTTTATACCTTTAATACCCCGACACGCATGACACTATAGAGCGGCAGTAACGGAGCTGACCGTCAGTAGGGAGTGAGGAAAGGCACATTTTCACTTTAAAACGTGGACCTCACTTCTGTTACAAGTCATCTGTATGCTAAACTGAAGGGAGCAGCTGGTTTATTGCACAGGCAAAACGGTGCTACTTGCATTCCACCGGTCATATCTAACGATTTACATCGTTATGGCCAAACGCTGACAAAACAAATCATGCCCAGTGACAAAATGCTGGGCGACGCTCCTACCTGATTCTCCTCTTTTCCCCAGTAAGCCGAAGTCAGACGCGGCGATGTGATTCACCTACAACGCAGGTTTTCCCAAATGGACAAAGTCATGCAAATGCCGGAATCAGCTCCCAGATTTAATCCCCAAGCTGTGCAGCCTCGTAGGCGGTTCTCTCCCACGATCTCTGCCGGCACAGTGTTCCTCGTTTTTTCCCCCCAATATATCCAGTTGTTAACCTTCGGAGGTGCCTGGCTCTCCTGACAGCGGTTAATCGGTTTTGACTCAACCCTTTCCGGTGAAACGCTTAACGAACAGATTCCTGATCTGCCAGCTACCAAACGCCTCTTCGTCTGCTAATATGTCGAGTAGCTTATCAATAAAATCCGAAGTTGTACAGTAGGAGATATACATATATTATATAAACGGTATATATTAAAAACTTTATTCAGTCCAGGCACAGTACACTCAATTCCCACATTAAGTCAAGGAACAACTGATAGCAGCCCTTTTTTGCCCAGATCTCCTCCTTCAAGCAGATGATGGGATCGCGCACCAGGAAGTTCCTCCGCCAATCCCAGCGCTGCAAACCGCGGCCAATATCATTGTGACAGTTTGGCCAGCGAAGACTTTACAAGCTACAGGTAAAGTGTACTTTAACATGCAGCACGCTCACGTGATCGTCACCATGGTTTAAAGCAGATGTCGACTCCCCATTTATTTATACCAGCTAAATAAATAGCAAAACCTTGGCGTCTTTCCAATACATTTTTCTAAACGCGAATTTCATTAAATCATTCTATAGTTCTTTCACCAGCTTGCTGGTTGTTTGAAACCAGTGCCTGATATACAGGCTTACAGTGTTGCTCTCATAGAATGATGCTTGTTTTGCTGGAAAGTGGTTCCGGAAAAATGCTCTGGCGCGTGGGAGGAAAAGGCGCAGCGTGCGGGCAGCTCAGCTCAGCTCGGCTCGGCTCAGCTCGGCTCGGCCCCTCGGCACCGCGCCCCCTTAACTATCTACTGACTAGCTGGCTGTCGCACTGTTCCTTAAATACCATTAGTCATTAAGCTGCCTGTCAGCAGCGGCTGCGGATTTTAAGTTAAAGTAAACGCATCTTAAATGGCGATACAAGGCGAAAGCGGGTCGTAGGACTGTTCCTGCTGTTGTTTAAATCACGTATAAAAATGCAAATTTACAAATTTCAACAATTTCGTTAACTGCCTGAGATAATAACATTACAGTCTTTTCTCTTAAGTTTTAACTTGTGTTTTGTCTTTCTATTGGCCGGAACCTTGCAAAAACTCCTCAACTCCAGCGCGATAAGAAATGTCGCAACTCGTATGAAATGGAGGGGAGAGTGACCTTAGACTAAAGCAGTCTGTCAATAAGGTGCGGGCCTGCAGCGTAACTCCACCGCCAGAGGGGGGAGCAGTCGACTCCTTTGCTGTAGCTACCCCCCAGGGTAACGTTACCTAGACCTCAGCTCTGCATTAATATCATTGTGTAGCGTTTTCCCGGTGAGAGGAAAACGCATATCCTGTTGATCAAGCAACACTGCACATGCGGGCGCGGGCGTTGACTTCAGGGAGTGTTTCCACATGTTTGCCCTGGCTATGTGGAGCCGGCCATTACTGCCATTGTTTCTTTTTTGATAAAGGAAGCAAAAGAAAACAGGCGGTAGATGCTCTTATTACTGTACATACCTAACCCTCCCTCGCATACATACACTATGTGATGTGAGCAAAATGGAATGTGTGAGTTCTGTGTGTTTCGCCGATGCCAGTGCTGATTACCCCTCGATCGTCTACGTTCAGAGGCAGACAGCTGGCTGCCACAAAGCACACAGCAGTGCTAGTTCCAGCTCACCGTCCAAATGAACCCTGGTGAACGGTGCCGCTCTGTCAACAATGCGCGCAGCACGTTGGGACGACCACGCCGATACGGGACAGGAATTCACGCGAAGTAAGGCAACGATCGTGGGGTGGAGATACCAGAACATTGATATGGACAGTCAGCAAAGGCCCAGATCATTCTGTTAAAATCAAGGAAAAAAACCTCCATAAACATCAAGGCTCAGCATCTCCTGCTGTCTCAGAGCTACAGGCTGCCCTTCTGAGTCGCAGTAAAGCAAGATCCTTGTCCATCTGGTAATTTTCTTTGTGATGTTGCCATCTCCTTTGCACAGACCAAAGCTCACAATTCTCCTCTGTGTCCAGAAATGATCACATATTATACAGAAGGGTAGAATTTAGGCTAGATGGTATACCCTGAATACAAAGTCTTTACAATGTTACGCAGTTACACAGATTGCAAGCAAATGAAGGGGGAGTTTCTGAGGGACACAGATTACTTCTCTAATGTCGAATAGCCAGCAGTTTTAGGCTCTGTGCAACTTTGACCCTGTTTCTAACTGCAGAGGACAGAGCGTGGGGCCAGAGCGTTTTTCAGCTACAAATGACAATAATCTGCCTATTGGTCAGAAAATGTCAAGAAAGTTAATCAAATGTTATGTTTAGATTTCAGAAGGGGTTACAACAACAGCCCTATATTACAAAATACCTCATATCTAAAAGCTTTAAAAAACCCAAATCTAGATATAGTCTGTGTTGCTAAAGTTACTGTTTAGGTCATAATGCAGACATATGTGGTGGAGATGAGGGACAGTCGGCCAGTTCCCCAGAAACCATAGGACAGCTGGAGACCCCAACCAGCACTGCTTACCCACCTTGCTGCAGTTGGGGCAGTAGTTTTCCCCATTCTTTCCTGGGGGCAGAATAATCTCCCCTGTGGGGACCAACTGGATCCTAAGCTCCATCATGGCTGCCGCCCCTTGGTCCTGTCCGTCTGTCCGTCCAGTGGCAGCCTGGTGAGGAGGACAGGCGGCTGTGAGGAGGACAGGCGGTGCACTCGTCGGCACAGGAGAGAGAAAGACAGTAGAAACTGGAAGGGAGCAGAGCATCTATGAGCTGGAGTCTCAGCTGTCAGTGCGATGCTGTTCTCCAAGAGGCACAGTCGCAGAACCCACTGTCTGTGATGGCCCCGGGCTCCGTAACTGGACCCGTGTCTCGCAGCACAAGCTGACTGGATGCGGTGGACAGTAAGCGCGTCTGTGAAGAGGACAGCCGTACCTGTTGCGGAGCTGAAGACTGGCTCCCGTTTCCCGTGTGGGAGACGACTAAGAATATACAGAATGTCACCCTGCCTTCCTCAGCCTGCCCCTGCGCTGTGATCGATGTTCCTGCTCACTGGCTGGCTATCGAAGCACTTCCTCTTGGACCGGTATCCTGTCCTGGATGTTCCCAGAGTAAACACTGGAGGAGCTTGCTCCACTGACCCCCCCCCCCCCCCCCCTCGGATGCAGTAGGCTGCCTCCTTGCCTTCTCCACCCCAGTGCCCCCAGATCTCTCTCTCACCCACTCACTCCACTTTTAATTACATTTCTGAGAAGAGAAAGAGATGAAGAACCAGGGCAGGTAGGAGGAGGTGAGTGCAGGAGGGGGGCTGTTTGTTTTGTGAAGGGGGCAGACATGCTCTCTGCAGCCTGTGCCCTGTGACCTTGACCCTGACCTCCTACTGGCATTTCTGCCTGGTCAAAACAAGGCAGAACCAAAATGGCATATCAGCAGTGCTACATACCACACTACAACACGCATGAAATGCTTTTTAGCCATGCAAGCCAAATAATGACTTTTAATGGATGTGTCTGGGTGTGACTGTCAGTGTCTTATGTAAGAGGAATGGGTGTACCCTGAAACACAAGGAGCCAGTGAAACAGGAAATGACAGCAGCCCACTTCCTTTAACCAGTGACCTTCAACAGACATTCCACATCACTGGGTATCAACAGGAAATGGCAACCAGGATGGCCAGGGCACCTTGAGATGGGGGGAGTGCTGCGGGGGGGGGGGTCACCTCACAGGGAGTTCATGCAAAAAGACGAATAGCCACCAGAAATCGTGGCAGAAAAATAAGACGTAGCCTGGTTCATTAAACCTTAAAATATTTATTAGTGAATGAATAATACACATTAATATGATATGAATAATATAATCATCCACGGAGGGCCACAAAGACTGCATTTCCGGGGACGCGGACCGTGATCTGGGCTCTGAACAGCGAGCCCCCGGTCCGGCCTGCTGCCCTTCCCCTAAGGCCGGGGGGGTAGGGGGGGCTGGGTGGGAAGGTACCATTCGTTATACGGTTATACGGCAGGCGGTTGTGTGTGATGAGAAATCTGCACTAGACAGTAAGGGAGAAATTCGCAGGAGACAAACCTGTTAGAGAGACAGCTGGGTGGAAATGAAGGAAGCCAGAGAAGAGTGAAAGGCAGTTTATTTGTTCTTGAAGATTACACCAAGGACGTCTTATTTTGTAAGGCATTAGTTATTTTTAACTATAAAAAAATAAGTAAAGGAAGCTGAAAATATGTCAATGTCATTCCCGAATCTTATCCAGTACTACTATAGTAAGGTTGCTTGTGCAGGAAGAGAGGAGGCAGTGAGCAAGATCGTTGTACTGCGTGGCCATGGAAACTGATACTTACTGATGACAACAACAACAACAACAACAACAACAATAATAATAATAATAATAATAAAACATTAGTAACATATCAAATATTCTCCCAGCTACAAAACGTCAATGATACTGGTTGTTTTATGTAGATTCAACTGGAAATCAGTAATATAAGACCCCGTTTAGTGTTCATTTAAAAACAAGAGAATGGCTTAAACTCTATGTAATATATATAAAATAACTGATATTCCTCTGTGTACGCAACTATCCTGCGAGAACAGTGACGACATAGCAAACACTTGGACGTTTACCTTGGCGAGATTACGCAAACGCGCCGGCCTACCGATCGCATTCCCTGGAGCACATCTCCCTCTTGTGGCATGAGACGCGAACCGCAGCCCAAACTCCGTTTGCGGTGGTCGGTCCTGGCGCGCTCCGCGTTACGTGTCCAACCTTGGATTTTGAAGGTCTTTCCAGGCCCAGTACCAGAGGAGACCAGTGAAGTGCTTTTTAAAATTAGTTTGACATCTTTATCATAATGCTCATGTTCAGCTGTTCTCAGCATATTAATATGAACCAGTACGTCTTTTTCCACTGGAAATTTGTATTTAATAGGGCTATGCTGCTATAAAATGCAGCCGCTTGATTATCACTAAGCTTAACACATAGTGAATTATTCTGTATGAAAGCACATTTCACCTATTTATATAGCTGGATAAATTTAGTACCTTGTTCTAGGATAATATAGCAGGACCCTTCCCTAACTGTAAAAAAGACAAACCGGAATGTACACCTGTATAATACTGCCAAACACAGAGACACCAATTGAACAGGGGCAACGCACGGGCAAAATCTGTGCAGAACACCATCAATGGGACAGTTACACTTGGAAATGCGACTGAACTAGGTACAATTAAGGCGATTTCAAATATTACCGAAATAGGCTACTGAGAGAATCCTGGAAAAGACACTGAACCGCTCGTCTTCAGCACTAACCACTGGAACTGCATCACAGGATGACCTTGTCCCATTTCATCCACGAGGGGGCGCCACAGAAGATATTGGTCAGTCTCTCCGGGCGCGGCGAGGATGCGCAACAAAGAAGCAAACGCCTGTAGACCAGTGTAGGATTTGGGATTTTTGTCACTCCCGTGGATTTCCTTGCACTTAATCTGTCATACAGAAATCTATCCAGTAACAACTAGGCGAAAACCCATGTCCTCTGTGAAGTAAAGCTGGCAGTGAAAGCGCAATTTGCAGGGCTCCTTCTGCACGCCCTCCTGCAGCAGCTGCCGCGCCGAACCCTCCAGTCTGAAAGATCTCAGTGACCCAGTTCAGTCTGGGTTATCTTGACTAGCTGACGCTGCGATTTTATAATCGCGGAATCACAAAAGCGGGATCAGAGAGGCGCTGAAATCGTGGTCATGACTACAAATGGAGGCCAGCCGTGTTAAGATAGAAATGCGGTAGTATTCACGAACATTTACTTTGAAATGCGATAGTATTCACGAACATTTACTTCGACCAGTCAGGAATTGAAAGCAGTATGGGAAAAGTATCAGGTAAATTGAAGATGTTAAGCAGGACTTTGGGTTAAGGTCTCCACCCATTTAAGGGGGTTGTATTGGATGGTTTTGATTACTGGGGAGGTTACACCCCCCATCATTCACGCCCATGCTAGTTCTGTATTGTCATGACGGCATAGATTACACGTTTATGTACAATAAGCTCAAAGCCGGTATTTTAGTGTACGACTGATGAGCAAGTAAATTCCCCTCCCAATCTTTGACAAAGCATTCATCATTTAACCTGAACGTTATCAAATCACAGGAATACACCACTGGATGTTTCATTTAGGTTGTTTTTATTTTAAGTATACTGTTAATTCCATGCTGTGTTTCAGTAAGAATACAGACTCTGTATCTGTGGCTCCAGTCAGACATCCAGTAGTACAAATTAGCTTCAAGTTACACATACTGAACCAAAAAGACAAAAGAGAAAGAGGCTGAGAGAGAAATAGAAAAGTGGACAGGGGGCTGACTTAAAACATGCAGGTCTGCAATAGCTAACCTCACTCCTATGGGTTTTAACAGGTCAAAGACCTGCAGCTTCTTGGTGACCTAAAGGCATCAAAGCTATGAGGCTCCTTCACACTTTTTTTTTTTTAATTTTTAAACTTTTTTTTTTTTCTTTAACTCCTACCAGCCATCTTCTGAGATAAAGGATACACAAAGTACAGCATTTTAGCACAGAGAACAGACTAAAACACGACTTGTTTTTACGGTGCTAAGTCAGGTGGGGCTTGTGGCATAACCCAGAAACGTCATTAATATTAACACCTGCCTTTTTAAAGTGTGTTTAATTTTTAAAACACAGGACTATACCAGCTCATATCTATAGTAAACATTGGTAATAAAAGTTCTATAATTATATATATTAAAAATGT